ACCTACAATTTTTATGTGCTCATTAAATTAATACGATTTTACAATATAATTTTACAATTAATTTCAATTAATAAATTAAACAAATTAATAGTACTCAAATTTCTCTGTTCATTAAATTAATTTAATTTTATAATTTCAATCAAGGATTTTATAATTTATTTTTAAATTAAATTATTAACTCCTTTCACTTATTAAATAAACTAATTAAATTAATTATTAATTTAAATTCTTCCATATAACTAGTTTTATGCATTAATTAATAATTTAAATAAAACATTTTATTTTTTGTATGCAAAGTGTATACAATATTCCACAAACTGAATAGTTCCTTTTGCGTTTTGGATTTTACGGTCGCAAGTATATCTCATGCGTAGTGCAGGTTGATCTCCTGACGCCATTCTCTTCTTCTTCCATCTCTAGTTGTTGTTATTTTGTGCAATTGCATTTCACAATTCAAAACTAACTATCCGCCCGTCTGTCCGTTTGTCTGCCCGTCCACCGGTCTGTCTGTCTGTCCGTCCATTTGTTGGCCCACTATTTGGTATTGCTTTTCAGTTCATTTATAAGGAAATTTGTGTTAATTTTAGCAGAACGAAAAATGCATTTTTTGCTCGCCTCCGTTGACCCTTTTGACGGCATCTATTCTTGGCATGCAAAGTGTTTGCGCTTCTATTTTGTGGTCTTGCTGCTTGTTGGCCAGATAATTGAAATTGGCTTAACGTATTTCCACTTGTGTTATATTCATATGCCCAAGCAGCTGTGCCAGTCCGGGACCTGTAGAGGTGGGCGGCGGGGGCGTGCGGCTCCTTGGTTCGAAATAAAAGTGAAAGTTTGATTTATGAGCACACGCAGGCGGCTGACCGCTAGCCGCTGGCTGATGGCTCTTAATGATTTATAATTAGTTTCGTGAGCTTTTGTTTTCCCTATGTTCTTTTCAAGAGACCGGGATTTGTTGGCCCCTGGCCTCGAGCCAATCAATTCTGGAACGGAAATAGAAATTCAAGTTGAAAAAATTAGAGTAGTAGTACTAAAAATCTCACTCAATAGCCGATCTATATAGATGTTATATACAGATGTCTCCATGCTGTGCCGGGTTAATGGGCTCAATTTTGTTCAGATTGTGGGCCATCGTCTTGTGAGTGGATGTGACGCAAATGTGTGCGTGTGTGTGAGTGTGAGTATGCTTATAGCACGTCATTATATGATTGATCTATTAGCTAATTGACTAATTGAGATATACTTTGTTTTATTGTGTTGTTATTCGCATAAATTCTTCTTTTCCTTCTTAGACAAAACGCATAAATGTAACACGAATTTTATTCTTCATTTATTGATTTAATAATCATAATCAGATTATCCGCAGGGAACAAGATAATATTAGTATAGCAATAGGTGAAGATCGAGAAAATCACAATATAGAATAGAATATGTTATATATACACATCTATAATACACGCCCATTTTATTACTAGTAATTTCATTTACAGTTACAGCAATTTTTGAACAGCTCGTAATTCACAGTATCTTTAACTTGCCGAACAACTGTAAACACGATTTCCCTATCAAGCCGTAAATTCATAGCCCCCTCAATGCATTTTACACATACTTTCAAAAAGAAATGAAATGAAAAGAATCTAAGAAAAACCTGAACATTTCTTCGATCGACCATTAATTTGTCTGAAAATCGAAATATTTTCATAGCTGGGTAAAATGGCAAGAAAAAAAGATCGAAACGAAACCTAATTTCTGTGTGTTGGCGGCGACATAAAATGAAAATGCGAACGAGCGAAAAACAATTTTCCAAATCTGAAATCTCAAATCACATCACGCCCTATAAATGCTTCAGATCGCGCCTCCAGTCTCCAGTCTCTGGCAACTCTCGCTGTCTGCTGAGTTGCTGTCTCATTTATGGCGAATAGCAAATGATTTTCCACACTGGCCATATATTAAATCAAATGGCAACATATTAAAAACAATTTCTCAGAATTCCCAGAAACCCGATTCGTGACTAACTAAATCAAAAAAAAAAAAAAAAAAAAAAGAAAAGAAAACCAAAATAATAAGTGTCTGACGTCCATAGCCGAATGATACTTCAGATCTGCGCAGGTTTTGCTCTATAATTTCTTCCCTGAGCTTTTTTGTTCTTGATTGTTTTTTTTTTCTTGCAAACATCAGACAACGCGGCGACATTTGAATTTTTGTTCGGTGTGGGCGTCGATGTATGCGCGGGCGTGGCACACTGTTCGAGGGCTGTAAAACAAAGCGATTTTCTATGTTAAATAATTCGAGCCAAATCAACAACAAATGGCACATAAAAAGCTAAAAGCAAACATGTTCACATCAAAAGTCTCTTATAAATCATAAACAAAAATTATGAATATATATATAGAAATATCTGGATATCGTACCTACATATATATATATATTTTTTGCCAATATTCAATGAGATCTCACTTCTGTTACTCTATATGAGACGAGGGCAATTGCTTATTAGACAGGCAAAAAACAAAAAGAACTGACTCTGACACCACGCACCTGTCTTTGGGCAACAGGTTAAGGTTAATATTTGAAAAACTGCATATTTTCTTTCTCTTGTGGTTTTTTGTTCAAAGACATTTTTAACATTCCCCAAATCGTTTTGTCGATTTTTTGATATCATGTGAAACACATTTTCGTTTCAATCAACATTTAGGAAAATAATTTATGGCATTAAGAAGACAGACAACGTATGGGATATGTTGGAAATTTCTCTATATTTGATATGGGTTTAGGCTGGAATATTGTAATATCGTTGGTATTTTTAGTATTTTGTAAGATCGCATTTTATTCAATTAGCATTCATTTCTTGTTATTCCAATTTGACCCGCTTATATTATAACTAATAATCTACGCATCGTCCAAGATTAAATGGAATATAATGCTACTAAAAATGGGTCAAGATGATAGTGAATGAAAATAAATGTTGATATCAAATACATACATAGAACATATAAGAGTACTAGTAAAATACTATAAATAGAGAACTAAGTAGATGTGCATATAGTTTATGTATAAATAAATGTTTGCTTGATTCTAAAAATCATATATCTACTATTTCCTAGACCATACTTTTTACTAACAATTATTTTTCTCTCTTATTTCTTGTAGAGAAACGCTCCTTCTCCTTCCGGCTGCGCCGTTCGTTCGGCGATGGCGGCAGCACCAACAGCCGCAACAGCAACAACAACAGCAGCACCTGCACCAATCACAACAACCAGAAGCGATGCAGCACCCCCTTGACGCCGACCAGCACCAGCACCGGCCGGCTGGAGGTGCCTGGGGCATCGGTGAGTCGACGCAGCAGCATTTACAAGAAGCCGGACAAGAATGATGGGGGGCAAATTCATATGATACCCGATGTGGAGCTGCCGCTGATGACATTCGCCGATCAGTACAATATCGAGAAGACGCTGGCCGAGGGCTGCTTCGCCAAGATATTGCTCTGCCGGCACCGGCCGACCAACACCACGGTGGTGCTGAAGGCGGTGCATGCCGAGCTGACCACGATCAAGGAGTTCCAGAAGGAGTTCCACTACAACTACGAGCTATCGCATCACCATCACATACTCAGCGCCTATGCGGTGGCCTTTCAGACCATGGACTACTACGTGTTTGCCATGGAGCATGCGCCATACGGAGATCTCGCTTCGAACATCGGACCGAATGGCTTGCATGAGACGGCCTGTAAGCTGATTGCCGAGCAATTGAGCTCGGCGTTGGGTTTCATGCACTCCAAGAATCTGGTGCATCGGGATCTCAAGATTGAGAACGTGCTGGTCTTTACGCCGGACTTTACTCGCGTCAAGCTATGCGATTTTGGGGCAACAACCAAGAAGGGGCTGCTCGTGCACAAGGTGAAGCATACGTGGACCAGCTGTGTACCGCCCGAGCAACTGGAGCTGATCAAGAATGAGCGCTTCCAGTGCTTGCCCATCAGCGATTCCTGGCAATTTGGCATCTTGCTGTACAACATTCTGACGGGTAATCCGCCTTGGCTGTCCGCCGATTGGGTCAAGGATCAGGCGTATGCTAACTTCATGAAGTACGAGCAGCGCAAGACGACCAAGGTACCAGAGAACTTTCGACGTTTCTCGCCGCGTTTGATGCGCTGCTTCCGCAAGTACTTGACGCACGATACAGAGGAACGGTGCAAGATCACCGAGGTGAACAAATACATGAAGGATCGCTGGGTCGAGTGTCGCATCTCGGCCTCGAAATCGGCCACTCTGATCTCGCCCACGCCACAGGATCAGGACTCGTGCATCTATCTGAATCAGCGGGAGGGACGCTTGTCTGGGGATGAGAACAAATTGCGCTTTAAGCGCATGATGTCCAGCTATGGCCTGGACGTACCCATTGATCAGGGCATGGTGCGAAAGCGCGTCTGGGATTGGCTATCCACATGCGATGCTAGCTTCGATCCAGAAGTGGAAAGCTTGCATGCATTGGAAATGTAGAGAGCTGCGATATGTCTAAGAGAATTTTGTTAGATCTATGAGATCTAGGAGATTTATTAGATCTCTGACCTATGCGATCTCTGATTTATGAGATCTATGAGATCTATGGTTTATATTGAGAACTCTCTCTTCGCAAGCCAAACAAAAATTTGTTATTTGGTTCAATTGGACCAAAATTGAATATATATAAATCATATATATATAAATATTGTAATACTTATAGACGAATTTTGCTATGCATATGAAGAAACTACATAATTATTAGAAATTTATACCAAATAAACCCCATGGGGTATTAAATATATAAAAATGTACTTAGTAGATATTTTGTATATCCAGTAAAAGCAAAACACGTCAACGGATAATCTTTCCACTAGTGTTACCTTTCTAGTCTTCCGCTACGATGGTTTATATTTAAATATGTATAAATATATATATCTATGTAGTTTTATATATGTGTGATGTACGCGTTATTTACTTTATACGTCATATACGATACCAACTAATGCAATTATCTAGAATTTAATATGTACTTAAGAGCAAGATAAACGATATATATCTATAATCTATATACTATATATGACCAATTATTAGCTAAGTGTTGTCTTATCTATGTGTAATTCGATTATATCTAAACCCTATACGATTATATATTATGTTTATACTAGACTTTATCTTGTACCTCTATCTATATATGTACGATCTTGTATATAATCCTATTATATGTATATGTACGTATCTATGAGTACTATATGCGTTATGCTATACTACTTTTATATGAGTTAATGTACACCGAATGAATGCAAAAACAAATATATGAATATATAGAGAAGCTTCAACTGAGTTTATTTTGAAACGTCTTTTAAACATAAACAGATTTATTGAATATATATTTTCTAAAGCAAATATTTTGAACAGGATTCAGTTGAGTTTGGCATTGGTCTGGAGTCTTCTTTTTGATTATATTTTCCTGACTAGAGTAGTAATACTTATACTTATTTAGAGATAATCTCCATTAAAACTTGGAACGGTTTTATGTACCTCAACAGATTTAACGATAACCGCCGGCGATTTATATGTATATTTATTTGAAATATTTAT